AAAAGTTCATTGCAAACTCGAAAATTTGTTAAAGTGTCGAAAAGTTTATTTCAGGTCCTAAAATTTGTTAAGATCCCAAAAATTCATTTAAGGCCCTAAAGCTTGTTAAAATTTCAAAGAGTTCCTTTAGGACCCTAGAATTTGTTAAGGTCCCAAAGAGTTCATTTAAAGTCCTCAAATTTGTTAACGTCTCACGAAGTTCATTAAGGCCCTAAAACTTGTTAAGGTCTTAAAAGAGTTCATTTAGCAGCTGAAAATTTATTTGCTTATTGGCTTATTAAATAATTCATTTTGGCTTTGTTCCTTCGTTATTTTTTGATTTCATTCCGACGTTTCTAGAAGTTTGTTAGTTCAGTTATTGAAAGGATCTGACAGTTACTCTTTCGGCTATTTGATAGTATCATTTAAAGATTGTAACATTCATAAATTTTGATGCCCAAAATGACCATTTTAATTAGCAAATGACACTTTTAAATGACGCTTTGATACTTTTTTATCCATTTGATACTGTTTTAAAAAAATGATTTCATAAATAACATTAAAAAAATTTTTAAATTTTTCTGACAAGTTGCTGAAAACATTATTATAAATACATTCAAATATGACAAATAGAACATGCCTAACTTTTCGTGGCTAGCCAAATTTCTCATTTAATTAAACTGTTTCTCAACTTACTTTAATAAAATATTCAATAATTTTATGGAAGAAATGTTTTGACCATCAAATTCATGCATTATATTCATTTTGTTATCAAAAAAAAATCACCAAAATTATCAAAAAAAAAAAACAAAATCAAAAAGAAATTCAATCGTCAAATTCGCATATTATATTCATATAATTTTTATAGTGTAAAATTTATTTACTGTATGAATGAATGAATTAAATGAACAAATGAATGCAAGCAGGAAACGAAAAGAAAATGAAAGCATAATATTAATTATAATGAAGTATTTCCAATATATTCCAATATATATATATATATATATATATATGTATACCATCATTGTATGTTTGCAATGTTAAAAAAGAAAAAAATGTTGTTTGCATCATTTTAATCATCGTCCTTTATCAGTAAAGGTAATTGAAATAGTTTTAGTCTTATCACATTTGCCCTCTTCGATTAGATTATCATACTTTTGCTAATTTTACCTATCATTCAAACTGAATCATTTGTTTAGAGAAATGAGCATAAAAAATTTTAATTTATTTGTTGTAAATTAACGAATAAATTATTGTGAAATATTAAAGTTAGTAGAATCAATAGAACAAATGAAATGAAAATGAAAAATAAAATTGAAAATTAAAATTAAGATTAACATTAAGATTATAAAATTAACGTTATGACATTTTGTTACGTATCACACAAACTTGCTATCAGAATTGAGAAGAATTTTTGGAAAATAAAACAATCGAATTTTCATATTTTATGGTGGTAAAAGTTCTTTTGTACTTTATTTAACTAAAAATGATTAATTGCAAATTACAAATTATAACAAATTTTGAGTTTAACATTTTTTCTCTTTTTTTCTTATATAAACAATGACATATGGCAGACTAAGTCATTAATTAAAAATAAATTTCTGATAAATTAAAAAATTTTTGCAATGCGACAGTAAAATGAATATTTCGCAAAAAAAAAAAAAATGAAAGATGCATTTATTGATTAATGTCTTACTGTAAACTCCTCTCATATCATAGAATATCATTATTGTAGTCTTTTTGTATGAGTAAAATAAAATTTATTGTTTACAAATAACATTTTACAAATAACAATTAATGTGTTTACAAATAACGGAAAAAAAATGCTTGCAAATAACAAATAACATTGTATAGAAAAAAAAAATGCAAAAACAATAATTAATGATAAGCAAATTAATTTTTCAAATAATTAAAATGGAATGAATAAGAAATAAAGTTTCAAAACCTTTGGAAAACTCTAAGAATTTTTAAAAAATTAAAAATTATAAAAAATTAAATTAGATCAAGTTTTACAAAGGAATTTATGTAACATAATTAGAAAAGTGAAACGTTTTGATAAGCTAAATTTTATGGTGTTTAAAATATAAAATTCGAAATGCATAAATGAAATAATTATAATTAATCGAAAAAATTAACATTTAATGATGCTATTGACAGAAAATTTTGTGACATTTTTTAATTATTTACTAAAAAATTAAAAAAAAGAACATATATGTTATGGACTGAGTTTTACATCCAATTAACATGTCAACCAATAAATTGCATCAATTTTTATGAAAGCAACTCAACAATTTTTTGAAAGTATTCAAGGTGAGAATGGCATTTATGATTGGTATAATGATTACTCCGTAATTATCAATTGAATTCATCATTGCTATGACTAAGCTGATAATATCAATTATTATTCCATATAGTTATCATTTTTTCTAAACATAGAATCGATTCTTACTCGTCAACTTGAATATTTTATCAATTTGTGATTGAATTATAATCACTGATATATCTGCTATATCAGTAAAACATTCTGATAGCAGTTATCATGAATCCTTTCAGTTTTTACTGCAACATTTACTGTTGCAATAAATTTCTAATTTCTGGTAAAAAAATTTTTATTAAAAAGTAAAAATATTATAATTCGTTGTTAAATAGTAAAAAAAAGTTTTGAACTGAAATTATTTTCCTTAATTAAAAACTTTTGCAAAGTATATCAACGAGAATATTTTATTTATTTGCGTAAATCTTGTCAAATTAAAAATGAAATTAACGCAATTGCATTACTTACATTATTTATATAAAAGTAATAATACGAACTGTAAAAAAAAGCCATTGCATAAGAATTTATTTTTAATATAAATTTTGCATGTTTTTTAATTGAATACTTATAACAGTACTAATATATAAAAGAATTTCGTTGATATTGTTGTGAATAGTTTTAATCAAAGAAAATATTTTTAATTTTTTAAAAAAAAACCATAATTTTATTAAAAAATCCAAAAAATTCAAAATCCAACAAATCATTTTCGAGCAATTTTTATCAAAAAACTAATTTAAATTAAAAATTATTTTTAAGTAATTAAAATCAAAGAAAACAATTTTAATAGAGAAAAATTTTGTAGAGAGAAACTTATCAGTTAAATTAACAAAATAGTAACATGCATGGTAAATATTTATTTGAAACAGATAAAAATATATCAAATATAATCAATATGATAAATAACTTGGATATATATATATTTTTTTCAACAAATTCTATCATAGCGGGAATAGCGGAAGTAGCGGGAATAGCGGAAGTAGCGGGAATAGCAGGAATAACGGGAATAACGAGAATATTTTGTAATTTAAGAGAAAATCTATCTACGACATGATTAATTATTGACAAAAATTCGACAAATATTTCCTTTTGTTTTTTTTTTTATTGACAATATTCTGAAATAAAAATACTGCAAAGTTTAGAATTGAAATTTAAAAAAACTGAAAATTTTTGTTGACATACCCGGACAATGCAGTTTCCTTCAAATACCATCAATTCTTGCATTCCATGATATCACGATTATCAAAATATGGAAAATATCCCATCAATTCTTGCATTCCATGATATCAC